TATGAAAACCTCCCGTTCAAGTGCTAACTACGGGATGGGTGAGAGCATGGCTATTAGCAATGTGAGAGCGGCCAACGGAGAGCCAACCCTGCACCCTTATCTTCGGACCTTCTCCACCTACTTCCATAACTTTGTAGAGCAGTGCCTCCAGCGGAACCCCGATTTCAGGTAAAGCCAGGTGAAAGCTGCTCTTCACAGACCTGCACTATTCTAGGGCAGATTAACCTGAGAGAGCCAGCAGAGGTTGTTCAGTTTTCTTTCCAAAAGTCTCCTGGAGTGAGGATGTGCTCCATACATTGAGAAAAGCAGTCCGAGTATGTAAAAGAAGAGCAGTGTTAATACTTCAAGCGCTTTCTATAAGAGAGCCTGAAGAATTACTTTGCAACCTTCTTTGGAGGGTAGAGTGGTGCTACACGTCAGGAAAATAAACTGAACAACTTGAATTTCTGGTCCCTGTGAGACTCTGTTTACCCAGTTTCCATCACTGCGAATGTCTGTTGTTCAGTAACGATGGGAAGTGATCAAGAACTGTATCTTCCTCTGTAGTGAGCATAAGGTCGTCTTTAGCCATGACGAACTTCTCCAGCATACCACACTGTTCAGCTTTCCCTTGACCAAATGGTGGGGTGTACAAGTAGGTAACTTGCACAGAAGGTTGAACTGCTCGCATAAAACATCATGCGAAGATAATAAACAGTGCTACTGGTTACAAAAGGGAGATATTCTACAGCTGAGAAATGAGAGAGGCAGGAAGGACCCTGGTCTTTTCTTTCTTCCACTACCCGACTTTAAACAGTGACGCATTTTCTTGTGTGCTTACTTTATTCTAACTCCCTTCTACAGGCCAAGCGCAGGCACTCTGCTTAATCATCCCTTTTTCAAGCAGGTAAGGAACTAATTTAATCTGCAGATAAAGAACAAGTGGCTTTTCTGTAGTTGTTGTCTTGCTGTCTCACTGAACCTGAGGGTGGGAATGTCGAGTTGCTGAATTTTCTGTGATCTGAAAGAATTAAGTTAGTTTGGTGACTAATTGCAGTGCAGCTTGGTGATCTTCACGTTGTCCTCTGAGGTGGATGGACTGTTCTCAAAAGCATCTCTTCCTTATCTAAACAGAGGATGTAAATCTGCCTGTCCTGTATGCCAGAACAGTTTTTCACCCACAGGCTATTGAGTCCTGGGGCGAGGCAGTCCTAACCTGGTCCTTAATGAGACCAAACCGAGGTGATCTGTGCGTTGCTTACAGTTGTGTGGCAGGTTGGTGAGCTCCAGCCCTGGCATGGGAAAAGGCAGAGGCTCTCCTGCCCCTAAATGATTTGTCTGGCTTGCTCTGAGCTGGGGGTTAGGGTGGTGCTTCACTGAGGGGGAGCATCAGGACCACAGCACCCAAGTGCTGCTGAAAAGGCTGCACGCAAAGCACTTCTCTTGTTACAAGATGCAGTGCGAAAGCCCTGCACACGTCTCGGTGCAGGTGGGCAGATAATACTGTGTTCTTACTTTCACATTGTTGCTGCTTGACTGTGATGTGCAAGTGTGGGGAAGCATTTCAGCAGCCGAGTTCTCTCCTTTCTGTGCAGATCAAGCGCCGCGCTTCTGAAGCACTCCCTGAACTTCTGCGCCCCGTCACCCCAATCACCAATTTTGAAGGAACGCGGCCCCAGGATCCCAGTGGCATTTTTGGGCTGGTATCAAACCTGGAGCAGCTGGATGTGGATGACTGGGAATTTTAGAAAAACAGGGACTATACCTGGTTCTGGAGGAGCTTTCTGGACATTGTAATTTATTGGTTCTGTTCATAAAAGGTCATGAATGTTACACATAGAAGAGTTTACAGGTCCTTGGGAAGGAACTTCAACTGCCTGTTTACTTAGGAAGTAGCCTGGAAACAAATGGACAGACCTGAGCTGGAAGAGGATCAACCCCAAGGAACTGGAGTATTCCAGATGGTGCAGTGCCCAGAGCCCCAGTTCTTGCAGCTGAGCACTGGTAGATCACTCAAATGGGTTGAGTGAGTCTGTTTAGTCTCTATTTATGCGTTTCTGAAAATCACTGGCTTCCTCGTATCACAGTTGAAGGCTGTGTGTCCCTACCCTCTTTGGTTCTTTCTCTTTTAAGGGTGCCTTAGAGTTAAGGGGAGGCAGGCAGCTCTTAGTTTTTGGCATTCTCTTAGAGCTAGTCAGATTACTGTTACAGTGTTGTCACAGGGTAGCTTTTGAGGGTGCAGAAAAAGGGATTATGTTCTTAAATTTAGTCACTGCTTTGTGATGGAAAATGGGAGATCAAAGACAATCCGATTCCATTCCAGGCACGCTTGCTGCATCGGGCTTTCCTCTGCAGCGCTGGATTCTTCTCTTCCAGTTCTGGAGAGAGTTTTTGAAGAGACCCCTCTCACTTGATGCCGAGTGCTCTGAACTCCAGGTCAGACAGGGCATTCCAGCCTCTCCTCCCATGGCTGCCTGGGTCACCAAAGCGTGTACGCCTGCGCAAGGTACCAGCTTTTTTATCCCCACAGCACATCTAGTTGAGCCTCCCGTTAGCTGGGCTGGTTTCACAGTATGTAACACTCATACCAGCTTGTTCTCAGTGACTTACCCTGGCACAGAGGAAAATTAAGTTGACTTTCATGCTAAATCCTCTTCCTCGCGACTCCTCTTTGAATGTCGTGTACAGAGTTGATCCTAAGCCTTCCATTACCACTGCTGTTCTGCCTTCCCTGACCGAATGACAGGTAAAAGCTTGCTTCTCACATGGCTTCCCTCGATTCATGGCTGTGTGACTTTGCCCTGCTGCTGTGGCAGCTCCCCCCATTCCATGGTATTTGTTTTTTGGAGGTGCATTTAAGGCTTTTAGTTTGACCTTTCCAAGGACCACGGGTGCTGGAGGTCTTTCTACTCTTCAACGAAGCACTGAGAATCCAGTCCTGTAGGTGTGGTTGATGGGAGTAGTGGTGCTGGCAACAGGTCCTTCTTGTGTTTATAAACTGTACTTGAACCCAGATAAAAGTTTGTTACTCTAGTTTTTTGCCAAAACAAATAAAATATTTCTGAAGTTTTTTTTTTTAAGTCTCTTGTTTCTGCAAGATGATGGTGTGGATCACAAATGACGACACAGGCTCGCTGTGCACACTTACTCTTATTTCCTTACTTTCGTATAGCTTGCCACACTTGCGTTAGTTGCAACTGCCTTCCTGTTTCAAAAACATATTTCAACTAAAGCAAGAAGCTGTTACCAACTGCTCTTGCTCTTCTCTGAATGTTTCAGTAGAATGCATTCTCCCACAACAGGGGTGAATTCCTCCTTCTACTTCCTCCCTAGGATCAGGTTTGGCTCCTGATTTAATTTTACTACAGTAAGCAGATCTTAATTTCCTAGCTTATGAAGTCTGTAGCTTGCAAAAATCCTTATCCCTCTCCCACAAGCCTGGACAGGGACTGAATCGCTGGTACTTACAGCAAGAAAAAGCACAGTACCACTCAGCATAGTCCCAAAGGTTTTGAGTTAGTGATGGTTTGGAGGAGACGGGTTTCCTCACAGAAGGGGGATGATTCAAGAGGTGTGTTGCCCACCGAAGATCTAAGCCTCTCTTGAATTCTCCTAGGAACCAAGAGGCAGGCAGAAAAGACAGGAGGGAACACACTGAGCTATAATAAATCTAAATAACTGCAGCGTTCTAGCCTGCTTTCCCATGAGTTAGCATTTTTAGGGTGAAGGATGATCTTAATGCAAGCTAATATTTCTCATCCCCTTCCATGCTTTCAGCTTGCTACATGCTCAAAGATTATGGACTTAAATTAACTTGGAGATAGATTTATGCTTACACAGCAGCAGGATGCAAGCAGGCTCAGTGCAAAGTTAGGAGTGAAACAGCAGCACCTTGGTCAAAAAAAGAAGTTAAGTAACTGAATGTAGTCTTCAACACCTCCTTCCCCAGGCACGCTGCTGCACTCGGAGGCAACTGTTGGGGTCCTGCTGGCAGCACAGGGGTAGCAGACAGCCATACTCAGTAACAACTCTTGAGTCTCACCTTACCTGTTCTGTCTTGGGCCTTCAGAGAGCAGCAAACAAGGGGTCCGGCACGGTCAGGACACGGAGTAGCTGCTGGTTGGATACACAAGTACTGGCTACAGCTGCTGGCCCCAAGGCAAGTGCTGTGAGCTTTTTTTTTTTTTCTCCCATGAAAGCTTTATTCAGCTAGATACAAAACAGGGTGCTGTGCTATTGCGGATCCTCCCCATGGTCTGAATGCTGCTGCTCTTCCTCCTCCTCTTCCTCCCCTTTGTGTTTTTCCAATTTTGCCATGAGCTCTGAAAAACAGGAATAGGCAGGATGAGACTCGAGGCACAGGGGCTGTCCCACACCAAAGCCAGGTGGCCCAGGTTCTGTATACACCCATCTCTGCAAGAACCAGGGCAGCTACCAAAACCCACTTGCCTACACAAAGGCTCAGCTAGGAGCTACCACCGCTTGCCGAGTCCAGGGCATCAGCTGTTACAGTCGTAGAATCCATCAGTGCGTTACTGACCTGCCAACTAGAGCATCAGACAAGCTGCCGCCTCCGCTCCCGCAGCACGTTCCCCCCCTACCCTCACCAGAAGTCACACTCCCCGCGTTCCCCACCCACCTGGGCAAGCACGGATGCTCATTTTGCACCTACGGGAGCCACGCAGGCCGTGATTTAGTGTCTCCCGGCACTAAAGAAAGCTCTGCCGGCAGCCAAGAGCTCTGAGCTCCAGCTTAGGGCCGAGCCCAACACCGAGAAGATGACACCTCAGGAGCTGGTGCCTTCGCTGCTCCAGACGCTGCCACTGAAAGCCCTCTCTCCCACAGGTGCCCGTTACCTTTTGCTGGGTTGAAGACTCCATTAGTTTGCTTGTCACAGACATAGCAGCGCTGGGATTTGCGATAGTGTTGGAGGGCACAGTTCTCACAGAAGTAGTGCCTACACCTGTACAGAGACACAGATGCCACAGCATGTCACCAGATACAGTCGCTGTGTCCAGGCGTTAGAAAATTACTGACTACTGGTCCCCAGGGGATGCAAAAGTGAGCTGCATGCAAAGCTTCCTCTGCAGCACTGTCCCCACGAAAGGTGTTTCAGCATTGCTTCACTGGTGTGGAGCGATGGCACAGAGAAGTGAGCTCTTCCAGACACCAGGTACCTAGCAAGACAGCCAGCAGCGTGGGAGAGGGCTGGCAGCGTGTGACATCCAGGCTGCCCCCGGCCTGCTCCTCATCCTTGGCCAGCTCTTGGCTTCCCCACGCTTCTGTTTCTCTGCTCACGCAATGCAGCGTGCCGTTCAGTGTCCAGGAGGAATGAAGGCACGAAAACAAAATCTCAAGGTTAACGGGAAAGATAATGTAATGAGGCAGCATCTGTGGAAATCTAAAAGGTGCCTGGACAACAAAGGCTTGAGATCCCTTCCAGGGAGATGCTCCAGATGCAGTTATCAGACTCCCTGGTTATTAGAGGATTTCCCCACCCACCAGAAAGCCACAGCAGACAACAAGCAGGTTCTACCCACCAGCCTGTGGGCAGTGTTTGTATCTGCCTCGACAGTGAATGACTAGTGAACTGGATCGACAGCAGACACTTGGCTCCTCATGCCAAAACAACCGCTTACTTGGTGACCACGGGGTTCTTGAAGGAACTTCTGCAGATGAAGCATTTGAAAGGCATATCCTCCTCATCGCTGCTCACCTCATAGTTTTCCTCATCTGCAGAAGAGAAAGTTAACCAGACTGGAGCAAGAGCAGAAGCAGGCAGACCAGCCCATGCGTGGGGCATGAAATATTAAATACGGAGAGAGCACAGCAGGTGGGATTAGATCTCTGCTGGAAACAATAGAGCTCTGGCATCTGGGTGTTGCTGATGTCAGTAATACATGTGGGACTGAGATATAATTAGGTCTAATGAGCCAGCGTGCTTGTTGCTCATCTCGCAAGAGCAAACTCTTTTCTACCTCGCCCACTCACTGCTATAAAGAGACATATCCTTCAGCCCCCTCCTATTTTTTAAATTTTCTTCCAAACCAGCTGTCAGCAAACTCTTTGGCTCCAACTGAACAGAGAACACCCTCTTTCCCCCAGCTGCACAGCGGTTCACGAGCAAGACTCATGAGCCTTGGGCCGCAGCTACAGACAGTATGAGCAAGAAATAACGATGTGACGTAGCATGAAAGCATCCTACCTCCTGGGCATCTGGGGGGCAGGAGATGGCCACATCTGCCCAGCTCCACACAGCTCGCTGCTGGGACCCATCCAACAGCAGTGCTATCCTTTTATAGAGAGCCAGAGGAAATAATTCTCTCTGGTGGCAGCCAGTAGCTATCTGAAAGCAGCAGATTTGCTGAGCACTGTCAGTGATTACTGGCCCTAAAGTTATCCTGCAGCAGGGAGTTCCACAGCTTTGGACTAGAGTCCTTTCTGTCTAATATTAATTCAACCCAGGGGCCCATGCAGTTTGAGACAGCAAAGGATCCATTTCATTCTTAGTGATCCAATATCCCTAAGTCACGTTTGCTTTAGGGCATGGTAAGAGGCAGGACCCGGTAGCCTCATCCACCATTAGCTTAGGGAGAAGGAGAGCAGAGAGGTGGTGCCGTACCATTGACTCCATACCGGCCTTCATCCAGTTCCCGTTCGATCTGCCAGCCGTGTTTGTAGTCCGAGCGGTCGTGGAGGAATTTGCAGCTGTCTGAGCAGCACAAAGAAAGAGGAATTAACAGCTAGGCTGTGTGGGGTAGAGGTTTAACAGGACACCTCATTCGGGAGCAGCCTGAGTTTTGCCCAGCAGAAGGTGGAACCTGATTGCTTCCCTGCCTGCCTGCGCTTCTGGGCAGCGCCAAGCTCCTGGAGCAGGCACAGGATCCCTCTCAGGGTTGGCAGGCCGCAAGGATCGTGCTCTGTGTGCCACAGCGACAGTTCCAGCATTTACACACATGGGAAGTGGGATGAGGAACAGGAAATTCCACTCCTCACGTGGCCTCAGCAGCCAGAATACCTGTGGCAGTGTGGGTCACTGGAACATTCCAGGGGTCCCTCCCAGGACTCTTACAACCACTGATTAGAGACCATCAGCTTTCAGAAGGGCCGACACAAATGACAAGAACTTTACATAAAACAACTCTGCAACAGCATCACACACCAGCTCTGCAAACAAGTGCCTGTAAATCAGTAAGCGCACATCTCAGCGCCACAAGCACGGGATCACAAGCTGGACTGGATCCCTTTGCAGATCTGGTGCAGCACGTGTTCAGCTGCAGGCAAGATCCACTCACCTCCAAAGCCGCAGAACCCAGTTTCTTTGTAGTCCTTGCAGATGTCGGGCTGGTAGTCCCATCGCACCGTGGCCCGCAAGTGCTCCGGAGCACGGATGGGTCCTTTTCTGAAAGGGTGGGAGAAGGCTCAGGCCAGCTGCGCAGCTGCAGTGGAGAAGGCCCCTGGGGGCCTGGTCAGAACCAGACACCGGACTCGTTAGACAGAAAGAAGCTGGCAGTAGCAGCAAAGTTCAAGCCCCAAACAGGTGCCTTTGGGGATGGTGCCTGAGCTCCTCTGTGGTCCCAGTCCTCTGAGGCTCATCCCAACCTACCTGACCATTCCTGAAGAGGCATTTCCCATCGATGTGTCCTTGGGCTTCACATACTTCTGGTAGTTGTTAATACCACGGTAAATTTTATCATCTTCCTTTCCTCTCAGCTCCTAGGAAAGCAAAAAGAAAAGTGATTAAGGATCAGGAAAGCTTCATGACACAGATTAGCTTTCACCACTCTGACACCAGTCTCCTTTCCCAGCCCTTAATACCAAGATGCCAATAAAGCCAGAAAATTCCCCTATTTTCAAGGGTTACACTCTTGGCTTCTCAAATTTCCAGGGAGGAAGAGACTCAAACTCTTCTCAGTGTGCAGAAGGGGATGAGTAAAGCACATGTACTCCTGCTGCAGAGCAGTAGCTCTTACAGAGCAAGGCTGACTCACCTCCTGGATTTTCTGGCTGCGCTCGAAGATGGCCTGGGCATCTTTCTCCTTCTCCGTGTCTAGTTCATACACTGCTGTGGCTCCCATGTCTTCTGGGCCAACAGGTTTCTGAAAAGCAAGAAGAACTTGTGACAACAGCGAAGAGAAAACCTGTACAAGATAGAGAGCTCCTTGGCTACCTGGAGGGTTGGTCACAGAGCAAGTACTGGACGTGGCCTGCTTTACCTTCCATCAGTTTCTACCTTCCCTTAGCACCTGCCAGGGAAAATCCCCCATGGGCTGGATCCAGCCTAGTGCTTGCAGGAAACACTTGTCCTTACTTTACTCCTTCACGCTCAGCCTCGGCTTAGCTGGAAGCTGAACTCGGGTCTCCCATGTCCAACACTTCAATCATGAGACCATCCCGCCTACACACAGGATGTTATTGTCTGACCTTTTAACCCAGCTGTGGGTGGCTTACATTCAGTTTTAACACAGCGGTCTGGTTTAGATTCCTCTTTAATGGACTGAGCAGACACCTACTCCTAGGATTTATCAGATCTTCAAGAACAGCTGCACAGAAACCAAAGAATAATTACAGCTAACCTCAATTAAAACCAAATCCAACTTAAATGCCAAAAGCTTCTGCAGCCCCAAAGCTGTCATCTCCTCCTGCACCCTTCCCATTCTCCTACAGCAAGCAGGGCTAACAATATGCTGCCCCCTTGGCAGCAAAGTGGTGAATAATTACAGCACGAGGTTATATTCATATTAATCTCTAATGTGTCAAGGAGACCTCGGTCTGACCCTGCAGCTTTGACTGGGGGCAGTTAGGCATTATTCCCGTTTTATACAGAGGAACAGACAATAAGGAAATAGGTCTGAAGAGGAAGATGTGTTGATACCTGCTTTTAAGCCTACTTATGTCCTGCCAAGGCTCATACTAATGGGCAAAACTTCACTGGATCAAGAGGAAAGTTAAGAGAAAAATCCAGTGGGAAGAGCAATTTGAGCTGGGCCCAAACCTTCACAGCCGATTTCTCTCCACTCCAGATGTTAACAGGACACCCCACCCATCAAGCCCAAGAAAACGACGACGTCTCTCCATAGCTCTTACCCCATCACTGGCCACAAGGATAAAGATGGGAGCACCTTCTAAGTCACCTTGAATTCTTTGTGGAGGAAGATGGTCTAAAACTGAACACATGAACCCAACAGTAGGGCAAACCTGATTCAAGTGCTCCCTCTCCTGAAAATTTTGTGCGATGTTGGGCAAGTCCAGTGGCATCTTGGGGTTTTAATTCCCAACTCGAAGAGGGAAAGGGCAGTCCTAAATGGCCTCCTAAGGATACAGAGGGTATCAGGAGAACACACCTAGCACAAGGTGCTTGTCTATTAAGAGGGAAGGAACAGGGAGGTGCATCTCTAGATAAAAAAGAAGGAACGGCTGATCCCACATTTGCAGAGGCAAATTCTCTCTATCAAGTGCAGGATCTGCCAGTCCCACCTGACTTCAGACCCCAGAACCACATTCTTGCCCAGTCCTTACCGCCGACCTTGTCGACTTGTAAGTGACTCCGATCTCCTTTGATGGATCCTCATCGTCACTGCTGCTCAGCGCATACGCGGGCCTCTCCTTCATGCACCTCCTGGTCTGAGGAGCAAGAAGACAGCAGGTATGAAAGACAGAAGGCTCCAACACTGTGCCTAGCTTGAGCTTGGCAGGCGACTGCGGATGCACCTCGGATGGAGCTGTGCCCTACTGTGGCTCCCTTACCTTCTGGATCATGGGGTTG